GAACTGGTTCTAGAGCAGCCTTTGATTTAGGTCTAATTTGGGTTTACTATTAAAGCAATACTCTTATACTGACTGTATTCAATGCCTTATGTGTTCAAAGGTTACCCTGTTCTACCTGGTAGGAATATGAACTATTCTCAACCCTACATGAGTTTTAGGGATTAATCAAGGCTGCTTCTGTACATTCATGGGAAGATCAGTTCTCAGCCAAAGATTCAAATGGAGATTGCTGCAGATCCAGAACTGTATCTCTCTTTATAGCTTCCTCTTCTCTTACTTTTTTCCTCTTCTCTCTCTCTCTCTAGCTCTCTTTTATGAGAAAGAAGAGAATGGGGGTGTATTTTTGACAAGAGTTTCACTATTGCGAGGCTCTGTCACAACCTCCCAGTTGGCTAGGACTACAGATGCATGCTGCAAGCTTAGCCTGTTCAGCTCGGTCCAGGATCTGGACCCAGGCCTGTCATGTGGCCCCAGACTTACATAGTGGTACTCTTCCATTGTGCCACTGCGGCTGGGCCAAACAACATTTCTTTTTAACATATATCATCTTGTGGATGGGACTAGCTATAGTTCAGGATAGCTAAGTCGGGAGGCAGTGTAGCTCAGAGCTTGAAATCAAGGACACAGAGTCTGATGTTTATCAGACCAGCTCCATCACTCCAGCTAGATGACCTTGGAGAAGAAGGTACTTTATTCTCCAAACCTTGATTTTCTTAGTGCCTCAGAGCTTGAAATCAAGGACACAGAGTCTGATGTTTATCAGACCAGCTCCATCACTCCAGCTAGATGATGACCTTGGAGAAGAGGGTACTTTATTCTCCAAACCTTGATTTCCTTAGTGCATTCATGGCTTGGGTTAATGTCAACTGGTCTGGACTGACTGCTTGCTTATCCCCAGGGCTACTGACCCTTGGCCAACGTTATAGTACTTATTAACTAAAGATAAATACTATCTGGAAGTTGTTTTTTAACAGGATGTATCTGCCTGTTTGCAAAGTTAGTAATAATGATCAGATCTGTGATTTACATCTGGTTTTGCTGGAGGTTGGGAGACGTTACAACTGTTAGGAACGGACACACGGCTGGGATGTGCCTGGTGAATAGCTCATGGTAAGAGACTCCTCGAAAGAACAGACTTCAGACCTACGGTGTGCAGCTGCTTTTCCTGACTGTGAATAGAGGTTTGAGATCTGGAGACTGTAAATCCTGTACAATCCCACCCTGAGGTGGGATGGCCCAAAGGTCATCCCTGAAATTTTGGAAACCCTTTGAGTGTATCGCCTTCTGCTATTGTTGTATATGCCTGTTGCCTGAGAACAAACTGAGTTCTGTGATTCCTTTCAGTGATCACTTAAGATGATTAACATGTAATTAATGCACTGAGAAATAGTAATGACAATAATCTGCCCATTACACTGTCCTACTGAAGAGGAAATGAAAACAAGCTATGTACAGGGCTTGGTCCTGTGCCCGGCACTTCATAAGTAGTTAACAAATGGTAGTTACAGTATTTACCAAAACATTGCTCAGGAGAAAACCTTTTAATCATTCGGAGGCAAGAGAGAATCCTATAAATTATAGCAGCAGTGGAAAATTTCACAGAGAAGGTGAAACTTCACTCTATCCTTGGATGATGAGTTAGTGTGCAGGAAACAGTGAGGAGGCCATGATACCAACCAAGGAAATAGGATGAGCCAGGCACAGAGTCAGGAACTAGAATGGTATTTCTTAGAGATCAGAAAGGGGACCAGCAGATGGCGCTGTGGTTACATCACTGGACTCCCACATAGTTGACTGCAGTTTGAGTCCCAAACCTGGCTGCTTGAAACTCACGCTGGACACGTGTGCATGAGTGCCCTAAATCCTGAGAGGAGACAGAAGGAGAAGGGATTGAGGCATGGCCCTCTGGGTTTACTATTAAAGCAATACTCTTATACTGACTGTATTCAATGCCTTATGTGTTCAAAGGTTACCCTGTTCTACCTGGTAGGAATATGAACTATTCTCAACCCTACATGAGTTTTAGGGATTAATCAAGGCTGCTTCTGTACATTCATGGGAAGATCAGTTCTCAGCCAAAGATTCAAATGGAGATTGCTGCAGATCCAGAACTGTATCTCTCTTTATAGCTTCCTCTTCTCTTACTTTTTTCCTCTTCTCTCTCTCTCTCTAGCTCTCTTTTATGAGAAAGAAGAGAATGGGGGTGTATTTTTGACAAGAGTTTCACTATTGCGAGGCTCTGTCACAACCTCCCAGTTGGCTAGGACTACAGATGCATGCTGCAAGCTTAGCCTGTTCAGCTCGGTCCAGGATCTGGACCCAGGCCTGTCATGTGGCCCCAGACTTACATAGTGGTACTCTTCCATTGTGCCACTGCGGCTGGGCCAAACAACATTTCTTTTTAACATATATCATCTTGTGGATGGGACTAGCTATAGTTCAGGATAGCTAAGTCGGGAGGCAGTGTAGCTCAGAGCTTGAAATCAAGGACACAGAGTCTGATGTTTATCAGACCAGCTCCATCACTCCAGCTAGATGATGACCTTGGAGAAGAGGGTACTTTATTCTCCAAACCTTGATTTCCTTAGTGCATTCATGGCTTGGGTTAATGTCAACTGGTCTGGACTGACTGCTTGCTTATCCCCAGGGCTACTGACCCTTGGCCAACGTTATAGTACTTATTAACTAAAGATAAATACTATCTGGAAGTTGTTTTTTAACAGGATGTATCTGCCTGTTTGCAAAGTTAGTAATAATGATCAGATCTGTGATTTACATCTGGTTTTGCTGGAGGTTGGGAGACGTTACAACTGTTAGGAACGGACACACGGCTGGGATGTGCCTGGTGAATAGCTCATGGTAAGAGACTCCTCGAAAGAACAGACTTCAGACCTACGGTGTGCAGCTGCTTTTCCTGACTGTGAATAGAGGTTTGAGATCTGGAGACTGTAAATCCTGTACAATCCCACCCTGAGGTGGGATGGCCCAAAGGTCATCCCTGAAATTTTGGAAACCCTTTGAGTGTATCGCCTTCTGCTATTGTTGTATATGCCTGTTGCCTGAGAACAAACTGAGTTCTGTGATTCCTTTCAGTGATCACTTAAGATGATTAACATGTAATTAATGCACTGAGAAATAGTAATGACAATAATCTGCCCATTACACTGTCCTACTGAAGAGGAAATGAAAACAAGCTATGTACAGGGCTTGGTCCTGTGCCCGGCACTTCATAAGTAGTTAACAAATGGTAGTTACAGTATTTACCAAAACATTGCTCAGGAGAAAACCTTTTAATCATTCGGAGGCAAGAGAGAATCCTATAAATTATAGCAGCAGTGGAAAATTTCACAGAGAAGGTGAAACTTCACTCTATCCTTGGATGATGAGTTAGTGTGCAGGAAACAGTGAGGAGGCCATGATACCAACCAAGGAAATAGGATGAGCCAGGCACAGAGTCAGGAACTAGAATGGTATTTCTTAGAGATCAGAAAGGGGACCAGCAGATGGCGCTGTGGTTACATCACTGGACTCCCACATAGTTGACTGCAGTTTGAGTCCCAAACCTGGCTGCTTGAAACTCACGCTGGACACGTGTGCATGAGTGCCCTAAATCCTGAGAGGAGACAGAAGGAGAAGGGATTGAGGCATGGCCCTCCCTTTTGGGGTGTGATTTGTTGCTTCCTATCTCTCTCTCCCATGAGTACATGCACCCTATAGCAAAAATTTTTCTCTCTTAAAAAAAAAAAAAAAAAAAAAAAAAAAAAAAAGAGAGATCAAAGAATGTAAGCTTAACCAGGAAGGAAAAGTTACTGGGAGATGAAGCCCCATAGGTATATAGGTATACAGGGAGCTTTTCCAACACTGTCTACAACCCTACTAATATGGGAAAATCCTGAATGCTTATCCCCCAAAAGAGCTGATGAATAAGCTATGTTATAGTCACACACCAGACTCTAATTCAACACTCACTAAATGAACTACAATGACATGTAACAATATGAATGAATCATAACATGATACTATTATAAACAACTGAAAAATATATGCCTTTTACCAATATACTCGTGTAGGTGTTCCTTGACTTACGGTAGGGTTACTTCCCAAGAAGCCCCATAAGCTGAAATAAACTGGAAATACTGTAAGTGAAAATGGCCATTTCTTAGACATGGTAGGATGAAATAACACAAAACACAACATCCCCAAATGCTGGCAATGGAATACCGCAGAGTATTGGTTCTTTACCTTGGTGACCACGTGGCTTATTGGGACCTGTGACCTACTGCTGCTGCCCAGTGTGCCAAGGGTATTAAACTGTATGTTGGGAAAAGGTTAAAACTCAAAGTTCAGTTTTTACTGAAGGCATTTCCTTTTGCGCCCGCATCAAGTAGGAAAATCATAAGTCAGTGGTCGCTTGTGTGTAGGTCGTGTGTGTGTGTGTGTGTGTGTGTGTGTGTACGTGCGTGTTTGTGTGTGTCAGTTAAACCTATATTAAAAGGATAGTGAAAGAAAATGTGCACTGTATTTAAGACAGCAGTTATCTTGGGAAGTGGGTGGCAGATGAGTGAGATGAGGCCTTGAAAGCTGGCTGTTCTTACCAAAGTTTGAACTTTCATATTGGCCATTAGGTCCACAGGGGCTTGTTACCTTATTAACATACACACATACATACATGCAGAAAAGAGAACCATGCCTCAGTCATCCATAAGCATGCCATGAACCACGGATCACGATTCATCCTATTCTGTGATCTTGAAGTCTTTTACAGAAAAAATAAACATGAAAGCAAAGGCTCAATAATGCAAAGCCTTACTTTATATTCTTATTAATATAAGATGAAAAAAGGAGAGACATAGAATATATCTTCCATGGCAGACAGTAATCCCCCCCAAACCTTTAACTTGCTACCCTTTATTTTCCATGCTTCTCCAGCTAGAGCAATGAAAATGCAATTGGATGATGTGACTTATTGTTAAACCAAAGTGTGAGGAATAAACTCCAACGTGTGAAACCACCGAGATTTGAAGAGTTGCTCGTTTCTCCAGCACAAAGTAGCCTGTCCCGATAACGTGTCTTCGTTGCAAAGACCTTAGATCGTGTGAAACCACCGAGATTTGAAGAGTTGCTTGTTTCTCCAGCACAAAGTAGCCTGCCCCGAAAACGTGTCTTCGTTGCAAAGACCTTAGACAGTCTACATTCCAGAGTTACAGAGTAGATGTTACACATTATATAAAGGACTGATACCTTTATCACACTTCATGATGAAAATAATTGCCTCTAATGCATCAAGAGAAAAGAACACTAGAACTGAAGTCATTCTGACATCAATTCTTTGACTGGTAATTTCTTCAGAGAAATGACCTCCTTGGAAATCAAGAAGTCAAACGTTAGGACTACATTTTTAGAGCCTGAAGTAACTGAAGGTAAATAATAAACTTTCAATACATAGGAAAATATTCAGTGTATGTATACATGTGAGTTTCTCAATCTAACCACTAGATGGCAGCATTCTTCCAAAAATTGTTTCATGAGCACACTTTTAATCAAAATAGGCTTATCTTTCTCCAGTGGGATAAATTCAAGAGATTTCTTTTATTTACTTATTTATTTAGAGAGATATTTGCTATAGGTCATGTGTGCTTACCAGGGAGGTAGAGACAGAGAGACAGAAAGTGAAAAATCACCCCCCAGGGGGGATAGCCATGTTGCAATCTCTTCTCCATTCTCCTCTTGAGATTTTGGACATACACATGTGTCCAGTGTGAGTTTTAAGCTGCCCAGTCTGGGATTACAAACCTCAGTCAACTACATGGGAGTCCAATGACATAACCATTACACCAGACAACATGCTGCCTACCACACTCTCCTCTACCCCATCTTGTTTAGTACTTGTGAGCACAGGGGCTGGGTCTATAGGCTGGCTGGAGATGCTTGCTACATACAGGGAAACAATGATAGCCAAATAAATGCTAAACTTACTTAAGTATGTGTAAAGTAAGTTAAAACTTACTCCAGGTCTGTATGTATGTGCCTGCCTACCCAAAAGCCCAAGAGGAGAATAGGAGAGAAGGGACTGCAATGTGATCATCCCTCCTCAGGGGTGATTTCTTGCTTCCTGTCTCTCTGGAGAGCACACATGCCCTATAGCAAAACTCTCTCTTTCTAAAAAAAAAAGGAAAAAAAGTCATATTCAAAATCTTCTCTCCTTTCCAATGCTGCCTGCACCCACACAGATGCAAGTGCTTAAAAACAGTTTGATACTCCTTGAGTTACCTTTCTTTGTGAATGTGAAAAAACCTCTTTAAAGTCATTAAGTGAGTTTGTTAATCTGCCAATGTTATGACAATAATACAATATAAAAAGATGTAGATAGGGCCAGTAGGTGGTGTGGAGCTTTAGGCGCTGAATCCGCACATGACCAGCTGTGAGGTTCAAGTCCTTGACCCAGCAGCTTGAAAATCATGCTGGACACATGTTTGTGCATGCCTAAAATCCTAGGAAGAGACTGAGGAGAAGGGAGGGCAGCACGGCCATTCCCCTAGGGGGTGAGTTCTCGCTTTCCCTTTATCTCTCTCTCTCTCTCAGGTAAGCACACATGTCCTATAGCAAACTATTTTCTTTTTTTAAAAAAGTAGTCTTCAGACCAGCAGTTAGTGTAATGGCTATGTTGCTGGACTCCCATGTAGTCAACCACCGTTTGAGTCCTAGACCTGGTGGCTTAAACTCACACTGGGCGTGTGTGCGTGCCCAAGATCCTGAGAGGAAAATGGAAGAGAAGGGATTGTGGCATGGCCATTCCCCTCGGGGGTGATTTCTTGCTTTCTGTCTTTCTCTGTCTTTCTGTCTTTCTGGCGAGCACTTGTGCCCTATAACAAACACCTCTCAAAAAAGAAAACAAAGTAGATGGTCTTAGTTCAGAACTTTTTAGAACACATAACTAATAGAAATAGTATCAAATGCTGAGAGTTGTGGAATTTGAAGGTCTGAACAATGTGTGGAAAAATATTCCTTGGTAGTGATACTTTGAAGAATCTTTTCTAATTAGTGTATATATATATATACACACACACATATATATATACACACACTATATAATTAGTATATATATATACTATATAATTAGACTTGGTCTCATTTCTGTCAGTTAAGTGCCATATAAATATGAGCATCTAAATTTTTTGAGTTACATTTTCCTTGCTTGAAAAGTGAGATTTTTTTTTTAGTAGTTTTTTGCCTTGGGGCACATGTGCTTGCCAGGGAGAGACAGAGACAGTGAGAGGGAAAGTGAGAAATCACTCCCAAGGAGGGATGGCCATGCTGTTAACCCTTATCCTCTATTCTCCTCCTGGGATCTTGGGCACACATACACACGCACCCTGCATGAGTTTTAAGCCACCGGATCTGGGATTGTAACCATAGTTAGACATGTGGGAGTCCAGCGACATAACTGCTACGCCATTTGCTGGTCCCATAAAGTGAGGATTTTAATGCCTGTCTCTACTGTTTAACAAGATTGCTGTGATGTATTTTCAAACATTGTTAAGTCCTGTTAGAGGTATTAATGTGATCCCTCAAAAACATACTTGTGCAATATAAATATAAAATATTTGTGTTGTCTTATAAATATAAATTTATAAAATGTATATAAATTTTATAACTATAAATTTAAAGTACACATGAGGAATTGCCCCTGCAGACCTATGTAGCTAGGACCGTTTTGATTATTGGAAGAGGTAACTGTCTTTCAGGTAATGAAACTCTTAGCTTAGATTACAGATTATTAAAAGCATGGAACCTGATATCAGATAAAAACAAAATGTAATACTACTCAACAATTTCCCAGTAGCATAACCTTTGGCACTTTTTTTTTGGTCTCTTTTACTCTTTAAGCTTCAGTTTTCTTACCTCTAAAATTGGGATTGCCATATTCCCTACTGTTAATAATAGCTTAACATTAATTAGCAGGTATGTCTTTTGAACATTTAATCTGAATAGATGACAGACTTTAGAAATTATTTATTTTGAGGCACACAGAAGAGACTTTAACAGCAATTAATTATCCCAGTTTTTGCTTAAAAAAATCTTTGAATAAAAGTTTGTTTGAAATGAACTACTATAACCACACTGTGGCGCTCTTTACTCACTTGAGATTTTTCATTTCAACTATTCCCAGTAAACTGTGCTTTGTAACACGCAATGCTATATTATTCCTGGGGACTTTATTGTGTTTTCTTACAAGTTCCCAGATATCTTAATCATTTATTGCAAGGTTTCATAGAGATTAATATACCAATCCTAAATGATTAAAAAGTAGAAATTTAGTATCTTGACATTGTAACATCAAATTCAGAAAATACTGTAGCTTCATGCTTAGATTGTGTCTGTGCGTGTGCACAGGTGTTTCCAAAGCAACTTAGTCACAAATGTGCAAACTCAAGAAGATTCTCACACAGCCTAGCAATACATCAACCCCTTGACTTGGTTTCCTGAGGTTTGCCACCCTAATAACACTCCATAACTCAAAATGTAAAACACATAACTTCGCAGAAACAGAAACAAAATGACAGACCTAACTGAGAAGAGAGAGACTCAAGCAACAATATTTATTGAGGATTTTTTATAGTCAAGTTACTGGAATCTACTAAATACAGATATATCCCATAAGTCCTTGTCAATGAGCTGTTGCTTAAAAGTAGCTCAAGTTTTTTTTTTTCCACCAAAGACTCTTAATGAATTACATGGAAAAAGAATAGACACCACAAATGTCTAAAACATTCTAGACAGAAAGACATATAAGCTTGTTAAAAGATGAGGCACCTTAGAGACTGACTTTCACGGGAGGTCTAACCTAGAGATGTACTATGGGGAGGAGGTGAAGGAGCCTGCCACCTCTCACTTTGCATCATTAGGCCTCATATGTTGAGCCACTGCCAATAATTCATTTATTCCATAACTAGTTTTAATTATTTAAGAGTCACAAATGGCTCTATGCTTGGGATATATCAAAACAGTCCTTGCAACATGATCCTTAGGGTCAGGAGACAAAAGTGAGAAGAGCTTATTAAGGTGAAATGTCAGTATTTTCCCCCCTTCATTTATGACAGACCATGAGAGAGAGAGAGAAAGAGAGAGAGAGAGAGAATCTCCCAATGGGACCTGGTCATGCCACAATCCTTTCTCCAGTTCTCCATCCTGTCAGGATCCTGGCATGTTGCCACTGGGGTCAGGCTGAGATTCAAACTTATGAGCCATGTGAGATCCAGCTTTGTCCACACAGTGTTTACCTACTGCACTGTGGGACCAGACTGAGAAGTCAGTATGATGGATGGGACAAGGCGGGGGCATGGTCAGGTGGCAATCCCTTCTCCTCCATATCTCTGTCCTGTTGGGACTTGGGGCATGTACACACATGTGTCTGGAACATCTTTCAAGCTGCCTGGGCCTAGGATTCAAACCACATAGTTGGCCCTGTGGGATCTGGCTCCTTAATGACTAGCCAAGGGGTCAGCAATGAACATAGTGGTTTTTTGTTTGTTTGTTTGTTTTGTCTTGTTTTGAAGTCTCCATTACAAGGCTACTGTTGGGACCAGAAGTTGGCATAATAGCTATGTTGCTGGACTCCCATGTAGTCAACCACGGTTCGAGTCCTGGATCTGGTGGCTTGAAACACATGCCAGGCACATGTGTATGTGTACCCAAGATCCCAAGAGGAGAATGGAGGAGAAGGGATTGCGGTGTGGCCATCCCCCCAGGGGGTGAGTTCTCACTTTCTGTATCTATGTCTGTCTTTTTGGCGAGCGCACACTCCCTATAGCAAAAACCTCTCAAAAAAACCTCCAAAAAAACAAAAACAGAAAAAAAGGGGCTATGGTGTATTCAGTTAAATAAATCCATTCTGAGCACCTACTGTATATGCTAAACTCAGTAATAGGTGCTGGCACACCAACGGTGATCAAGACTAAGTGCCTTCAACAACTTCAGGCAAGTGCACAGGTAATTACATTACAGAGTAATAAAAGGGGCTCATTTCCAAGGTGCTCAGCGTGATATAGGACGGGCACCTGGCCTTGGTCTAGGGACTCAACTATGTAGTCAGGAGAAGATGGCATGAAACCTGAGCTATGCAAAACAAGTAGGACTTAATGAAGCAAAAAGAAGAGAGAAGACTATTGTAAACATGTTTAAAGGCAAGTAGTTCTAAATGGAAATAGTGTGAAAAAGTAATATTCCTAATTATAGTGTCACTGCCTATTAAATATGGTAATTGATGTTTCTGATAAATCATTTGAATAGCTGTTAGAAACAAATTTTCTTTTTGATTATCTGGCACTGACCATTGAGAAGGGCATTGAATTTGGTGGGCATACTAATTTGGCTACTGGGAAGGATTGTGGCTCTAATTACTATATTTGATCAACCCTAAGATGTTATTATCTGAAAGATATGCCAATATTTTATGTTGCACTAGGAAAAAAAACTGTAAATAAATGTTTTTCTCAAATAGAATTTTTATTTCACACTTAGGAAAGAAGTCTTTTAAATGTATGTAAACAGTTTATTACATATCAGTGTATATACCTAAAGAAAAAATGTAAGTAAAATAATTGCTTAAGACAGTCCTACAACCTCTTTATATTTAAAATCTGTTCTTTCTTTCTTTCTTCCTTCCTTTCTTTCTTTTTTGTTCTAAAAGCATTGAGCTCTGCATCCCTCATACATTAGTCCGTCAAGATTTTCGGTGATGTACACATTTTTAAAAGCCTCCACTATTTTTGGTAAAATGTTCTTTGAAGCTGCTGCTGAAAATATTGATGGAGAAGCTTTCTCAGTCTTTCCAGAAAGTGTGGAAAGAGGGCTTTTCGATGCCAGTTAGCACTTACATACCTTCATGGATGATCCTTAAGAGGGTTACTGACTGAAACGTCAAATGGCTGTAGTTATTCAGTCATGTTACCAGTAGTAACAGCCGTGTTCGTCGGCACATAGTCAGTAATAACTACATCACAATCGCAGCTTGGCTGACAGTGATGTGCGAGACACCATCAATAAGATGCTAATTTTAGACATGCTTTTATTTGAAAAAAAAAAAGTGCCTTAAGAATGATGAAATATGGAAAAGTGAAAGGATAGGTTATCAGACTATTCATGACAGAACTATTTTTTTTCTTTAATTTGCTAGAGAATACATGTGCTTACCTAAGAGAGAAGGAGAGAGAGAAAGGGAGACAAAGAAAAAGAGAGAGGGAGAAAGCACCCCATGCATGGCCATGATACAATATTTTTCTCCTCCATTTCTCTAGTGTGCTGAGATTTGGGGTATGCACACAGACAGGCCTAGCATGTCTTACTACTTGTCTGGGACCAAGATTCGATGCATGGTTGGCCATGCGGGATGTGGCTCCCTTAACTCTGAGGCCAAGGAGCCGGCCTGAACACTTCTTGTATCTGTATAATTTATTCTACTTCCAAGGAATCTTTTTTTTTTTTTTTTTCAAACTGTGGTAATAGGAAGATGGTCCTCCTTTGTGGACTTGCATTCCATGATCATTAAAAGGAAGTCATACAGGGGCCAGCAGGTGGTGTGGTGGTTAAGACTGTGGATTCCCACATGGCTGACCATGGTTTGAGCCCTGGACCCAGTGGCTTGCTTTCTCACTTTCCCTGTCTTTTTATTTCTCTCTGGTCAAATTAAAAAAATAATAATAACAATAATTAAATAATTTTGTAAAAAAAGAAGTCATATAAGTGCTGTCAGCTAACATGCACTTAGTATATATGTCTGAGACTGTTTGAGTACTTTTCAAATATTCATTCATGTTACCCTCACAACCATTCTCATTTCACCGGTGTAGAAACTGAAGAATAGAAAATAAGTTGCTCAATATTACAAAGCTAGTAATTGGCAGAACATGCATTCAAACTGAGAGAGTCTGGCTCCTCCGTCTGCACTCTTGTATAAATGCAAAACATAAATGTCAGAAATGTAAAGCAAAACAAAACAGCCCCAGCATTTACAGATCTGTTTATAAGGAGCATATGATTATTCCACAACACCTCTCCTGGCTTTAAGCTCAAAGTCTAGCTTTCAGGGTGCTTCCTGAGCATCTGACTCCTCTTCTGTCTTTGGATTTGCATTTAATTCCTTCCCCAGCAACAGAACTTTCTATGAATAGCAGAGTGTGAGAGCCGGTGTAGAATTTTCAACTTCAGCACTGTTGACATTTCGGGTTGAATAATTCTCGTGTGGAGGCTGGTCTGCACATTGCAAGATGTTTATCAGCATCCTTGGCATCTACCCACTAGGTGCCACTAGCACTCCATAATTATGACAACTGACCTTCTTAAGACATTACCAGCTGACCTTTAAGGCACAGAATTGTTTATGGCTGTGAAGACCTGGGTTAGAGCACAGTGAGAATAGGGTGGATTTCCTGGTTAACTGATTTCATACACAGTGCATATTGGTTCTTTCTTTCTTTCTTTCTTTCTTTCTTTCTTTCTTTCTTTCTTTCTTTCTTTCTTTCTTTCTTTCTTTAATTTGCAAGAGTGTGCGCACTAGTCAGAGAGATATAGAGAGCCAGAAAAAGAAAATGAGAGTTAAAGCACCCTCCCAACGGGGCTTGATCATATCGTGGTCCCTTCTCCTCCATTTCTCCCTCCTGTTGGGATTTTGGGCAAGCACACACACATTCAGGCAAGTCTTTGAAGCCCCTGGATGCAGGACTGAAACCAAATGGTCAGCCATGTGGGATTGACTCTCTTAATCACCAGGCCATGGGCCAGCACAGTGCATATGATGCTTATGGTTCTAATTCTCCAATGACAGTGCAGACAAGGAGGGTTTACATTAATAAACACAGTGTGCCTTGTTAGTATAGATTTTACCAATGAAAAAAGGGGAAGGGGGTAAATTATGAATGTAACTGACAGATGGAGGAATAAATAGAGGCATTGCTAACATTTTCCTGCTGGACTTATGCCGTATTTGAATACATGAATTTTTTATTACAACTGGAATTCGAAAAAGATTTCATGAAAGTTTGATTTCTAAGTAGGCTATTATGACAAAAGGAAACATCAAAGTTCGACATTCTTGTCAGTGGAAATAGCCGATAGTTCTCGATAATTTAGTTGTATACCCTTTAAAGAGCTCTAAGTACAATGTATTAGAATAAGAGAATAAAGAAAGACAACCAGATACATTATCATCTTTCTTTATGCTAGACACATGAAAGACTATATGCTGGTAAACTTATTGATAAAATACTGCTTAATAAAAATAGTATAAAATTAGAGCTTTTGTAGTATATCTCACTTAAATTTTTTTTTCCTGTGTATTTAAAATAACTTAAGGTGAGGGAAGGAAGAAAAATACCATTAGAGGGAATACTATGAAGGATTTTGCCAATGGGAAACGATCTTTTTAGCAATGAACTTAGGCTCTGGGGTCAGAATCTGTAAATTCAAATTCCTAATCTATTTCTTAAAAGTGCCATTGTGAGAATCAACAAGAAGATCATGTAAACGCCTAGTTTATGGCATATAATAGTCCCCCCACACACACACACACACACAGACATACACACACAAAGTTACTATAGTTGGGAAATTTATATCTTCCACTTCAAATGATTTGGAAAGAGACTAGATTTCATGCATAGAGCCTAATCATTATTTTTTTCTGGTTTTTTTTTTTTTTTTTTTTTTTTTTGGAGAGATTTTCACTGTAGGGCGCGTGCGCTCGCCAGACAGACAGAGAGAGACATAGAGAGAGAAAGCAAGAAATCACCCCCCAGGGGGGATGGTCACGCCGCAATCCCTTCTCCTCCATTCTCCTCTCGGGATCTTGGGCACTCACGCACACGTGCCCGGCGTGAGTTCTAAGCCACCGGGTCCGGGACATGAACTGCGGTCGACCACGTGGGAGTCCAGTGACATAGCCATTACGCTAACTGCTGGTTCCCCCAATTTTTTCATCCATTGTCTAGTTGGCTTGCCCAAATCATGGCTCTTCTCACCTCCCCCACCATTATTAGTTTCAACTAAAAATATTGAACAGTTTACTTTTTTTTCCTGGTATCTTTTCTAAATGTTTTTTCTTGAGCTTTTTAACACTTCCGTGATCTCTCCGTGTCCTATCTTTTCATCATCATTTAAGTCTACCCACCAACAGATATTCTCTATTCTAGCTATCCGATCACCCACAGTACCTTTCCTGCCTAGTCCATTAGTAACTCTGCAACACCATAACAAGCTGGTAGGATGATATTTTATGGTAGAAAGGTTCTTGTTTGTTCCAAATCTCACCTATTTCACTTTCAAGCAAGGCCAGCCAAATTCACTCAGTCAGTAGGGTCCTGGAGGAAAAACATCAAAATGCTAGACGTCTAAGTACTAATATTCAGAGTATTTTGCTTGTTCTAAACTATATCAGACATGGAATGGCTCCCCCTTTTCTAACACCTGGAAGAAAAGAGTCAAATGGTGTAATTACAACCACTGCTTTCTCCTCTGAATGCGACTTGGGACTGTGAATGATGGTTTATATTTTATGTTCCTTTATTTGTTGCTTAACATGCACATAGTGCTATCTGGGTGGCAGCCCCTGTTCTAGATATTAACCTAAAATTTAAAGCAGTCCTATGAGACAGACACTGTGCCTAGGTTCATTTTATAGATGTGGCAGTAGAAACTCTTCTAATGAACAGAAAAAATAATTTGTTTGAGCTCACTTAGGAAGTAAGTGGCATGACTGGGCTGTGAATTCAGGGAACATTACTCTAAGAGTCCCTTCTCTTAACACTGTCCTGATGCTTTGAAAAGAAAGTAAAGATTCTACTACCCTCACAAGGATGCCCGGCAATATATCATGCTTGAATATTTAATTCGAATTTTTTTTCTTCCTTCCCCAAATCATGTCCTTCCAATATTAAAGAGGGTTTAGATACAAGAGGGAAAAAGTGATTCTGGGCAATTTGAACAGAACAGAAGTTTGTTGAAAAGGAATTGGGGCAGAGGGGAGCGAAATATTTACAGATACAAAAATGGAAAATTACCTGTTGATAATAATGTGAATAGTAATATCTTTGACTGGATTAATATGCAGTATACTCATGCCCAGCAAGTCTATTTCATATGCTGTAAAAATGTACAGTCATTACATGTAAAAAAGAAGAAATTTTAAAAAGAATAGAAAGGCTATTGACAATGAACAATTCAAAATGATTGAACTTGGAAATGGGGTAGGAAGAAAAGAGGCTGAGCAGCAAAATGATACCAAGAATCAGTCTGATGAAGTCACCGCTGCTGCAGTTACCACTGCTGGACACGGGATGCCAACGCTTTCCTATTGTTACCATGGTGGCACAAGCATCACTGTTGCTGTGGAAACCAGGTACTACTGCTGCTGCTGCTCCGACTGACCAGGTGGATTCCTCACTGATCCCTGCTTCTTCTGATGCCTCCACAGGCCAGTGCATCTGATGGATCATCCTAGCTGATGTGCTCATCTTACATCACACCTGCCTTCCCAGGAGTCTGGAAAGCAAATATCTTGCCTTCTAGGGTTGGAGGTTAAAACAAAAAAGGCCTGATCTTTGCAAAATTTGGAACATACTTTTTCTTTTTTAAGAATGTTTTTATTTAACTTTATTTATTTATTTTAATTGGACCAGAGAGGGACAGAGTGGGAGAGAGAGAAAAAGAGAAGGGAAGTGAGAAAGCAACCAGACAGGTCTGATACTCGAACCGCTGTTGGCCATGTGGGAGCCCAGCGTTGTTAATCACCAGGCCACCTGCAGGCCCCTGGAACATACTTTTTTGAACCATATTTATTTGGGACATACTTACACTAAAACATTATTTGCTGAGGCCGACAGGTGGCGTGGTGGTTGGGGTGCTGGACTCCCACAGGGAAGGCAGTGGTTTGAGTTCTGGAACTGTTGGCTCGGTTCCTCACTTTCCCACTCTCTCTTTCTCCCTCAATTAAAAAATTAATAATAATAATAATTAATTAATTAAAATAAACACTTATTTTCATTTTTAAGAGAGATCATTGCTATATGGTACATGCACTTGCCAAAGAGAGAGAGAGAGACAGAAAGTGACAAATCACCCCCAAGGTCACACTGCAATCCCTTCTCCTCCATTCTTCTCTTGGGACTTTGGACACACATGCACGTGAGTCCAGTGTGAGTTTTAAGTGACCAGGTCCAGGACTCGAATCATGGTCAACTACGTGGGAGTTCAGCAATGTAACCATTATGCCACCTGCTGGTCCCTAAAATAAATAATTCTTTTAAAAAAATTGCTGTTTATGTGAAATTTAAATTTAACTAGGCACCCTGTATTTTTATTTGTAAAATTTGGCAATCCTATTGCACTCTTAATTTCTGTATTCAGAGGAAAACAAGCATTCATACGATAGAAATTTCTCAAAACATAGCAAGAAATTTTTCTACTGAGCAGGGATCACAAAGACTAACATTTATTACACTTCAAACATTTTTCCGTAGTCACAGCATAACAACTGGGTGCTATGCAAAAAGTGTTTTCTACCATCAAACTAACATTCAATCTATCCACCAGTCCCCTTCCCCCGCTCAAATTAGTATCACTACCAATTTCATTGTTCAACTAATTTGAGGTGATTTTTTTTTGATAGCTTGCTTTTATTTCTAGTGTAAATTAAGCTTTTAACTCTACATAAACCTCCTTTATACAATAATAAGTGGAGTTCTCCTTCCTAATCCTGAGGGAGGAATTTTATTGTTGGTGACTATTCAAACTACATACAAATATGTAAGCACATTTAGAGAACTTAATGTGTTTCAGCTGCTCTATATTTTCATGCCTCACTTTCACTTTCTGACTGGGAATATTTATAAAGATCTTCTGATAGTTCTACAAAAAAACCCTTAAATGTATGAAATATTAATGGATTAGGGACAAAGCTTACCCCATAATGCCTCTTAAATAAATTTTATCTGAAAATTTATCCTAGAGTCAGAGAGAATGAAATAGTTTCCAAAATCTTCCATTTTGTTTATAAAATATTTATACAGTTTCAGTTTTTATGTCATGTATATTCAATTTTAAGCTCTTAAATGAGAGTTGTAGTAATTAAACAGATTCCTAGCTAGAGCTGCAATTGAAAGAGAAATTTTTCATTATAATTTCTTTTTTAATAATAATTTCCTTCCTATACTGATTTGATAGGGAAACATAGATTTTATCAGTATTGATTCAGAACATAATCATTGCTGGAAGAATATTAATCATTATTCCCACATTTGATAAATAGTGAAAAGGCACTATTTTTGCAAAGACAAGTTATTTGGACTTTAGCAGAAAATGATCAATCTCCTGAAAGTTTTTTTTTTTAATTTAATTTTCTTTTATACATTCAATCACATTATTTGGCTTACAAAATGGATATTTCAACAGGTGAACATTTCACCCTAGTCCAGTTGATAAAACTATAAATTATCTTCAACAGAAATACCACATTTCTTTGTCCCATTAATGCTTTGCCTCCCTATTTTTCTTCTAAATGTCCGTCCTCAGACCCTCCTCTTTCACACACACTATAACTGGTATTTACATCTATATACTGTGTTTCTATATCCTTTAGTCAATCAGTTTCAGTCATAGAGTGCGGACACTCAGTATATATTAAGTGGGGACATACAATGCCTCTCCTTCATAGCCTGGCTTGCTTCACTCAGCGGTAAATCTTCCATATTCATCCACTTTCTGTCAAAAACTAGGGTTTTTTTTTATGGCTGAATAGTATTCCACAGTGTATATGTGCCACAGTTTTTCTATCCATTCATCTGTTCATGGGCATTTGGGTTGTTTCCATGACTTAGCAATTGTGAATAGTGCCGCAATAAACATTGATGTGCAAGCACTTTTCTGATTAAGTATTCTTCTGTCCTTTGGGTAGATACCAAGGAGTGGGATTGCTGGATCATATGGTAGTCCTATTTGCAGATTTTTGAGGAATCTCCAAATTGTTCTCCACATTGGCTGGGCCAATTTAGTCAGGTGGTATCTCATTCTTGTTTTGATCTGCATTTCCCTTACAATGAAGGATGTTGAGCATTTTTTCATATGCCTTTTAACTATTCATATGTCATCCTTTTTTTTTTGAGAGGTTTTTTCTATAGGGCATGTGCGCTTGCCAGAAAGACAGAGACAGAGAGATAGAAAGCGAGAAAGCACCCCCCGGGGGGGGGGCACACTGCAATCCCTTGTTCATTCTTCTCTGGGATCTTGGGCACACACGCACATGTCCCTGGCGTGAGTTTAAGCCACTGGGTTCGGTAGTCGAACCACAGTTGGCTACATGAGAGTTCAGCGACATAGCCATTACGCTAGCTGCTGGTCCCTTTGTATGTCGTCTTTAGAGAGCTGTATGTTCAACTCATTCTGCCATCTTTGTATAGGATTAATTGTCCTTTTTCAGAACAGCTGCTTGAATTCCTTGTGAATTCTGGTTATAAGTCCCTTATCTGACACATAATTTACAAAAATATTTATCCTTTCTGAGGGCTGTCAATTCATATTAATTACTGTGTCTTTTGCCATGCAGAAATTTCTTAGTCTGATGTAATCTCACTGGTCTATTTTGGGGATTATCAGCTGTGCTTTGTGGGGGGGAGGTCTTATTTAAGAAATCTTTCCCTTCCCTACTCCAATGTCTCCCAGAATTTCCCCAGTGTTTTCCAGGAGCAGTTTCATAGTTTGAGGTCTTAGATTTAGATCTTTGATCCACCTTGACTTGATTTTCATCAGAGGTGAGAGGTAGGGGTTCAGATTCATCTTTCTGCAAGTGAAAATCCAGTTTTTCCAGCACCATTTGTTGAAGAGGTTTTCCTTTTCCCACTGGATTGACTGGTACCCCTTGTCAAAAATTAGTAGACTGTATGTTTGGGAATTTATTTCTGGGGACTCTATTCTGTTCCATTGGTTCACGTGTCTGTTTCTGTGTACGTACCATGCTGTTTTGATTACCATAGCTTTGTAGTATAGTTTTGGGTCAGGGAGTGAGATGTCACCCATTCCACTCTTCTTGTGCAGAATTGCTTTGGCAATATGGGGTCTTTTATGATTCCAGACAAACTTTATAATTGTCTTTCCTAGATCTGTGAAGAATGATTCCAGATAAACTTTATAATTGTCTTTCCTAGATCTGTGAAGAATGCATCTGGTACTTTGGCATTGCATTAAATATGTAAATTAATTTGGGTAGAATTGCCATTTTGAGTATATTAATTCTCCCAATCCAGGAACCTGGGATATCTTTCCACTTTTTTGTGTCATTTTCAATTTCTTTTTTTATCTTCTTATCGTTTTCCTTGTGGAGGTCTTTAACTTCTTCAGTTAGATTTATCCTTAAGTATCTTTTTTTTTGTTTTTTTGAGAGGTTTTCACTATAGGGCACGTGCACTTGCCAGACAGACAGAGAGAGACATAAAGACAGAAAGCGAGAAATCACCCCCCAGGAGGGATGGTCACGCCGCAATCCCTTCTCCATTCTCGGGATCTTGGGCATGCATGCACACGCGCTTGGCGTGAGTTCTAAGCCACCGTGTCTAAGGGACACGAACCACGGTTGACTATGTGGGAATCCAGTGACATAGACATTATGCTAACTGCTGGTTCCCTCCTTAAGTATCTTATACTTTTTGTGGCTCTTTTTAAAAAACCCTAACAATAATAATAACTTATCAGAGAATTCATGTATGCAAACTTTACTTTGACATTTTAGTTATAAACACTATTTAAAATTTTTGTCTTTATTTGTTCTCCCAAAGTAAGAAAGCAGATTAGAGTTTATAAACTTCCATCCAAGTGATTAGATAGAAGAAAAGGTTGTAGATTGCAAAAGATCAGTGTAACATAATTATGCTTGGTCATTCCTCAGGGTCTCTAGGTTGCAGCAAAGATCCATAAATGCCCTAGATGACACAATAAGCATGAATTCTGATTTTCAAGTATATGATTTTGTTAAAATAGTGCTCTGAATCTTACATATCACTTAATGACCTATAGATTAGTATTTCATTTTACTTTATTTTAAAAATCATTTTATATAATTACATTTATTATTATTATTTAATTTGCTATAGGACATGTGTGCTCATGAGAGAGAGAGAGAGAGTAAGAAAACAAGCTGCCAGGTCTGGACTCTAACCGTGGTCAGCCATGTGGAGCCCTGTGCTTAAGTACCACGCCACCTGCTGACCCCCTCATTTTACTTTATTTTATTCACAGGAAAAAACTTCAAGCTGATGATACTTCGATTCACATTACATGGAAATTTAGCCCTTCATTAGATTTAAAATAAGGTTTCAAAATAAAATAATTAGTTACATATCCTTTGAAATATTTATTTCTACTTTAAGTCTTTTGTTTTATACTAAAGAAAAGAAGTATGTAAATATTAAAATTCCATGTAATACAAAAAATTCATGTTAAAAAAAGT